GTGTTTAATTTATTCTCTGCTGAACATTTCCTAATGAAAAGCTCTAAAACTAGCAAGTCAGTCACACTGCATAGTGTCCCTTAATGCTTGCACAGAAAATGTGATGCTCCAGCGATTCACTCCCTCTGCTGTTCACAACTGTAAAGTCTCATTTTAGGCCTTACAATACCAATATTTAATTTAAGAGACATCTAGTAATTAATTTCAGGTTACATGGTAAGATTTTTCAGGGAGAATTTCTTTTCAAGGCACACTCTGCTGCCTGCCCATAAGTCATCTTAATTTATAGTGAGAGTAGAATGCAATAGAGTGACTGGGACCACAGTTTTACACTGCTCATGTAATTTATTTTAAATGGCCTTCCATGCAGGAWGTCCTTCAAAATAGTGTTTCTTAAKGCCAGATTCATAACACTAGAAGAAATGGCTTTATTTTAAACTTTCAGCCTTGGACACACTTTGAGAGGGKCTTCCCTACCCCAAACTTTCCACTMGCTAAGTMACTGCAGCATMTTTTCCCATKAAAACATGCACMGAGAGGGACAACCATCAGCCCAGAGAGCTGCCAGCAGGTTATTCTGGGGATGCTCAGGTCAGCAGACAGTTTGTACTGCAGCAGAGCCTGCMCAGGCAGGACAGGACCGGGACAGCCACCCCAGCAGGTGACAGCACATGCAAGAGCAGTCATGCGTTAGTGCCTCTCATCCACGTGCCCTTTAAAAAAKAAACCAAAAAACTCCTCCTAACAGTTTTCTACGCCTTGTTGGGAAGCCACCCTCCCTGTGGACATGGGAGCTGCTGCTCAGCACACAATCAAGTTACCACTGCTGAGCAAGCGACGGAGCCCGGGCAGAACCGCAGCGACTGCTCACACGCTGGGCTGGCAGCAAGCGCAGGGTTACTCCACTCAGCTCAGTGCTCTCTCTTGCTGAAAGCTACATTTGGGTTGTCTTACCTTTGCTCTACCCCAATGGCCAGCTAGCATGACTCAGTGGATAGCAGGTAACTTGATTGTACAAGTCCRGCCTTTTAAAAAACATTTAAGGCAACATGGTGGCTTTTATTTGATTAAACTCCACTTTACAGGTGATACTTTTCCTTGCATCCCCCTACGGGGTTTTGCAGCACATGCTTACCTGTCACATTGCTGCATTATGGATATTTCCTTTATGATTTCTTGCAGGTCAGATTCCACAGGGACTTGTTTAATTGCAACAATTTGACCCGTTTCTTTATGGATGGCTTTGAACACACTGCCATAAGAACTAGAAAATAAAATATTAAACAAACAATGAATATAATAACAGTTTAAAAATGCAAATGTTATGGATTTGCTTTTTGCAAGTGTAACCATCAGGTAAAACATTAACTATCCTTTCATTAAAAATATTTTGTAATTTAATGTAAATAATCATTCCACCAACTTCTAAACACTGTAATGCAAGTAAGTCARCACACTGAGAATGAGAAATGAGCCAACCATCGTTATACTGACTATAGCTTTGGAATGGCCTTTTGCACAAATTCAACAACAAAAATTCTCTTTTTCCAGCATAGAGTACAAGATGAGCGTCAGTAAGAACTACAACTCTGGTCAGAGAGGTTTGCTTGTTCTTGTCAGATATTATCACTCTTATTTCCAGCTTCTTTACTTACAGCAGCCAGGCAGATTTACAACTCAAGTCTTTTCACATGAACTGCTTAAGGCAGTGAACATGTCACTCACTGAGCATTCCCATGCTGCTCTGCCTCACCAAGTGGCACAATGTCACTGAAGTTCGCTTCCACCAGGCAGATCTTCCACAAGAGGTACCAGGGATGAACTACAAAACCACTCAAGTTCCCACAGAGCTCTACCAACTCCAGGCTGGCATTTTTCAACAAAGTTTTAACTCCCTAATGCTGACCCATAACTTAGTATTTGGATCAAGATATCACACTCTTGGGAAACAATGCTTCATTCTGTTACTAACCAAACAGTCACTATGTTAGTACCTTTCAGAAATAGGATCACAACAAAGTGAAACATCAGAGTCCACTGAACACACCCCCATTACACAGATGAATTCTCAGAGAAATGTACATTGGGCCCACTGAAACAYAACACATACCCTTCTCCAAGCTTCTCCAGGACATCAAAAACTTCTTCAGGTTGTTTRGTTAAACTGTCTTCATCTAACTTCTTCAGCTGCCTGTTTGGGCAAGAAGAGAGAAATCATTACATTTAATTTCATGGCAGTCTGGGCTCTGCCAAAACATAGGAATAAATAGCACCACTCAGACATACAAAAGGTTTGGCATGCAGTAAATTGATTATGAAGTWAGTTTATTTCACCTGACGAAGAAACTGAATATTATTAGCATCAATAGCAAAAAAACACCAGGAATTACAAACAACAGATTGTGATCAGGCACACAAATCTACAGCTCCTCTTGGTAAAAATCAGTTTCAGGATCTATATGYTGGTGGTCACATCTCAACAGAGAACAGCAGAGTCTTGAAGCCATTGAACATATCTGCTAAACTCCAGTATCTGGAATGGAAAAATAGCTACCAAAGCCATGCAAAAGAGAATAAAATCTTCTCTGATGCTTARAGTATGTGTGGAATATATTTGTTGGGTGGCAGAAGGCAATACTGATCTCACCTGTATATCTCTAACATCAAAAGTTCAGCTCTTAACTTAGTGGGCCTGGACATATACTAGGAAAATTGTATTGGGTAAAAGAAAAAGGAAGCTGTACCTGACTTTTTTTAGGAGCTGAATGCCATTCCTATTAAATGTGCTGCTACTAAGAGTCAGCTGAAATAATTTTGAGGGAACAGAAAATGTGCCATGTACTGTGATTCTTCACACAGCCCCCCTGCCTCAGGACAGCTTTCAAGGAGATTCTGTACACAAAGCAACAAGAAGATCAATCATATTTGTTTGAGTCTACACTGGAGAGCTGTTCACCAAACCTCCTAAAACAGCTAAGGACTACATAACAAAAAGGTCTGAAAACAGTATTTTATTGTCAGTGGTAAGAGTATCCAACAGCCCACAAACAAGCGCTCTTTCATTTTCACATAAACTAAAAAAACCAGAAACAACAATAAACAAAAACCAGCCAACAAAACCCCTTCCAAACTCCAGAAACCAGCTCACRCAAGTTTTTAAAACACAGAACCTTAAGAGTCTCTAAGTTTTTAGCACTGATTGGTGTTTGAAGCAAAACACGTGTGATTGCCTGCAACTACAAATTACTCYTGAAACCTCCTACAGCTGCTGCTAAAGATCAGGACTGCAGGCCTAGGAATACTAATTTTTATACTAAATATATCACTTTTTTCCCCGAATTTCTTCAGAAACAGAGTGAAAAACCATGCATTGACCCCTGGCTATTATGTTTAYGTACAAAAGCCACATGGGAGGAGCAGCTCACGCATGGAGCACATACAATGGCTTCCTGAAGCAGAGGAAACATTATATAGAAGCAGACGCAGGAAGTGGTGAAATACTGAAAGTAGCTGCTAGCTTCCCTGCTCAGATAAGCATTAAACAGAATGTTACTTGTCCTTGTGAAAATGGAGAGGGAAGAAGGTGTGAGAAAGAGGGGGAAGAAAGTAAYACATGCACCAGAAGTCACATAAGCCACCATTCCCAAGGAGCCCAAAAACTGGCGACGCAAGAGGCAGACCCTTTGTGCTGAAACTAAGATGAGGCCTAAATTCTACTGCATAAAAGGAAAAGAGAAAAAGCTTTTCATATACCCAAACACCATGACCAGACAACTACAGTGCTAGCAACRAAAAGTCTAACTTTTACTACAGACCAGAAGCCAAATTACTTTGCACTGTCCTGTTTCATCGAAAGCACTCMCTGCTGCCTGACACACGGCAATTCTCCTGGATGCTTATACCACACGGATATAACAGYAACAGTAACAGCAACACAAACCCCAATCTCACCTTTGTTGTTATTCAGATCTAATCTTAATAACCTTGCCCACAAACACTAGCATAAGCAATTATAGAATAAAACCAAGCTCCTTTTTTTTATTATTATTATTATCAGCTCCATCTCTGTTTAACAAAACGGACCAGTGCCCCTGGGGACCAGCGCCAGCAGCTTCCTTTGTTCGCTACCGAAGCGTTCCCCGGGCCCCAGCTGCAAACCACTGATAGGATTCTGACACTGACACTTGGTTCAAGCCGCCGCCAATCTCCAGCTCTGCCCCGCAGCCCCGGCCCGGCCTGGCAGCCCGAGATAGGGCACTCACGGCTCCGTGACTCCGGGCTCGGTGTGCCCGGGGTGCCCGGACACGGAGGGACGGCGGCAGTGCCAAGGCTGGGCACCGCGCCCGGACACGGCACCGGGGCACAGACCCGCACAAACTGACCCGCGGCGGGAGAACAAGTGACCGGGGCTTTGTCATTCACCCGGCACGGGCAAGCACAACTCGTACAGCCGGTGTGCCCTGTGGCAGCTCCCGCAGCGGCGCAGGCAGCGCCTTCTCCCGCAGTTTTTCAGTTCAAGACCTTTTCCCCTACCTGAGCGCGGGGCTGTCCCAGCAGGGAGCTGCGAGGCGACAGCCGCCCACGGCCCCGCGGCTCCGGGCACCGGCAGCGCCCCGGAGAACCAGGGGGTCGGAGCTCTGCGGAGAACCAGGGGGCCGGAGCTCCGCGGAGAACCAGGGAGCCGGAGCTCCGCGGAGAACCAGGGAGCCGGAGCTCCGCGGAGAACCAGGGAGCCGGAGCTCCGCGGCCCCGCTCCCCCCGCTCCCGGCCCCGCGCTGACAACAGGGCGGGTGACACGGGCCGGAGCATCCCCGGTCCCGGCAGGGACACACTGGCGCTTACCGTCGCGGGTTCCGCAGCTGCACCGTCTCCATGGCGGTCTGTCGAGCCRGCTCCGTCCCTCACTGCTCCATGGCACCGCTCCGCGCTCGGCCGCCGTTTCCGCCCGCCGCCGGATGCCAGCGGGGAGTGCCCGCCCCGCTCCGGCGGCAGGGGCGCGGCTTCCCGGGCGCGGCGGCAGCGGCGCGATGGCCTCGTCCCCCGGTGCGCTGCGCCGGGCCGGCAACGAGGAGTTCCGCCGCGGGCAGTACGGCCCGGCCGCCGCGCTCTACTCGCGGGCGCTGGCGCAGCTGGAAAGCGCAGGTAGGGCAGGAGCGGGCCGGGAGGGCGGCGGGGGGACCCCTGTGAGTCCCGCCTAAAACGCGGCTGTGCTTGTGCCCCGCGCAGGGGATGCCCCCGCCGAGGAGCGCAGCGTGCTGCTGGCCAACCGCGCCGCCTGCCACCTCAAGGACGGCGCCTGCAACCTCTGCGTGGCCGACTGCACCAGGTGAGCGGCGGCGGGGCCGGGGCGCGCAGCGGGGTCGGAGGGAGCGCTCAGCCGCTTCTCCCGGCTCCATGGGGCGGGCGGAGCGGTGGGGGCAGCCCCGGAGCCGCGCTGGCTCACGGCACCCTGTCCCCTGTGTCCCCTGTGTCCCCTGTGTCCCCTCCGCGCAGCGCCCTCGAGCTGGTGCCGTTCGGGATCAAGGCTCTCCTGCGGCGGGCAGCGGCGTACGAGGCTCTGGAGAGGTACTCGCTGGCCTACGTGGACTACAAGACCGCGCTGCAGGTGGACTGCTCCGTCCAGGCGGCTCACGATGGAGTCAACAGGTGACTGTGCCCGGTGCCCGCCGCGGGGAGCGCCCAGAGCTCGGGGTACGGCTGCTCCGTGCTGGTTCCTGCAGCCCGGCCAGGAGCGGGCTGGGTCCCGGGCACACGAGTGAAGCGGGGCCCGGCTGTGCTCCCTGGGCCGGCTAGTGCCTATATATAGCTCCTTTCAAGATGCTGTCGAGGGCTGGGAATGATTGCTGAGGGATTGCTAATGCTTTGCTTAGTGTCTGGTTTAAAGGAATTACTGAAGTAAAGTTCAGTACCCTATCCCTTAAACCTCCCTATGTTCACTGTGTTTCCAGGCTCCTGTAGTCCTTTTCTCTTCTGGTGCTCTCTGCTTTGTTGCTTGTAGTGAAATGTACGTCTCTTGCTCACCTGAGCAGTGACAGCCCCAGCCCTTGTCCTATCATATTTTAGGCCCTGCTGGCATGAAGATAATCTTTTCATAAATGTCCTGTCGAAGGAACCTAGCTGAGATGCTTGTAAAGAAATTAGCAGAGAGATGCTGTTTATAATAGAGGAGCCAGGTTAAAAGTGACCTGCTGGGTACTGCATGGCCAATCCTTCCAGCAGCCAGGGTGATGGGAGCTGTCTCTTCCAGGATGACTAAAGCCCTGCTGGAGAAGGATGGTGTGAACTGGCGTCAGAAGCTCCCGCCAATCCCCACGGTGCCCGTTTCTGCCCAGACGAGGTGGAGCGTCCCTTCTGCCCAGGCCTCTGGGGCAAACACTCCTCCTGCAACTGCACCACGGGGAGAACGAGGTGGGAAYGTGCCCTTGGGCAGGGCAGAGAGCYCTGCAGCTCCCCAGGGTTATGAACAAGACAGCTGCCACACCTGCTTGGTGTGTCTGCTGCTGGGGCTGAGGCCTGAAAAAACCCAGGCCTGGTTCTGCCACAGCCTTTTGGCTTGATTCTGSTTCCTTTGATGTCTCTGTATGTCGCCTCTGGTATGGGGATATTTGCTTTCTGTGAGGCTGTGGTGTTCTTGTTGGTTTTATAGAGTTCTGTATCCTTTCACACCATTTCCAGACCAGACTGCTGCTGGCATGGAGAGAGCTCAAACTCTGAAGGAAGAAGGAAATGAACTTGTAAAGAAAGGAAACCATAAAAAAGCAGTTGAGAAGTACAGTGAGAGTTTAAAGCTCAACAAGGAATGTGCAACTTACACCAACAGGTACTGTTCAGCYCTTTGCCCAAGCACTTCTTGACCCTGTATAAAAACCACCAGAATACTTCCTGGCAGAACCGTTTAATCTTTGCTCCAAAAGTAATGAATGAAACAAAGCCACTCACTCATGTTTACCCCAAGTGCGGGTTACCTGGAGTATAGAATTCTTTGACCAGGTACTGCAGAACCTCTTGGAGACATTCTCCTCTGGGCTGCTAAGGGACTTTTGCCTTTGCTGCTTTGTCAGCTAGGACTGGGGTATTTTGAGTGGTCTCTGCTGCCCTACAAACTACAGACTGCTCTTCTTAAAGGCTCAAAATACTTCTAAGGCAGTTGCAGCAAGCAGAGCACATGCTACACTGGCCTAGGCAARAACCTGCATCCTTGAAGTACAGCTGCAGGTTCTTTAGCTTTAGAACAGATYGCTCCAAACATCTTCATTTTTGTTTCTTTGAACCGAAACACCCATTTCCTTTTTTTYCCTCCCTGTAAACGAAACAAACTCGAGCTCAAGAAGTAAAATGACGTAACACACAAGGATGGTTTTGGAGTCCAGTTGTTTGCTCTGCTCTGAGTGTTTCAGCAGTGGGTGCTGCTTTCAGCCAAAGGTCTCTAAGCAGGTGTCTGTGTTGCAGAGCTCTGTGTTACCTGACCCTGAAACAATACAAGGAAGCAGCACAGGACTGCACTGAAGCTCTGAAGTTAGATCCTAAGAATGTTAAGGCACTCTACAGGCGTGCACAAGCACTTAAAGAGCTGAAGGTAAGTCAGGAGGTTTTGAAGGGCTTTAGGCTAGGGCTAGATGGCTGCTGATGATCAGAACCAGGGTTGGCTTTTAGGGCTTGTTTCTGTGCTAGACAACATCTGCCATCAGATAGCTGAGACCTGTAGGGTCTAAGAGTGAAAGACAGCACACTTTACTGTTTGACTCTCATGAGTTTGCCAGTAGCAGGCCCTGTCCCTAGAGATGCTGAAAGCAACTGCTTGTTCACAGAATCACAGAATATGCTGAGTTGGAAAGGGCCCACAAGGACCATCAAGTCCAACTGCTCAACCTGTGTAGCACCACCYKCCCACTGATYCCACCCTGTGCCTGAGAGTGTTRTCCMWRYAYTTCTTGACCTCTTTCAGGCTTGGAGCTGTGACCACTTCCCTGGGGAGSCCMTTCCCCTGCCCAAYACCCTCTGGSTGAAKAACCWTTCCCTAATACCCAACCCAAATSTCCTCTGACACAATTCAGGCCATTCTCTCAGACCCTATCACTGGTCACCACAGAGACCAGTGTTGGATTGAGTTTTATCTTTTTGTCTCATGAAAAATACTGGAGTACATATTGCATTGGTGTTGGTCTCAGAACCCTTTTGAGTGATGAAATTATCTTCCCAGCCCTAGTTTGATCATGTTTTAGAACAGCTATGTCAATGCCTGTGCTTGAGCAGTTGCAGAGAGGGAGTCACAGGCTTAATTGTGTTGTCTTTCCCTCTGTTGCTGGCTTGTAGTTCTGCCTTAGACTGCCTTTTTAATGCACTAACCCTTAAAAAATAYCCTCTTTTAGGATTACAAATCAAGTATTGCCGACATCAAGAGCTTGTTGAAAACTGAACCAAAGAACACAGCTGCACTGAGATTACTGCAAGAACTGAACAGAGCCTAGGGTAACCAAGCAACAAGGAAAGCTTTCTTTTCCACTGCAGAGGAAAGCTTCCTCCCTTCTGATGTTGTTACAGGGACCAGTCGAGGCAGTATTGGAATTGAAATCTATCTTCCAGTGCTGCTGAGATCTAAGAGGTTCTGTACCAGCACAATGAATGTTCAGACATAATCTGTATCAAACGCTATAGATTAAGCTGGCTCTATGGTCATTCATAGTTTTAATGCCCCTCCCCAAGAAGCATTTGGGTTAAATTTTCCTGGTTGAAGTCAACTTGCCTCTAACTACTGGCCTCAGGGACTCTACATGTTGGCTAAGATGCACRGGAAGAGGCTGTTCCTGTCTGAAGAGCTGCAAACAGAGGGGGTTCAGTCCCAGTCCTTATTCAGGTGACAGTTTTGCTGCATTTGTGCTGCTATTACTGAAAGAAAGTCGCTGCAGGAACTGCTGTAGTTGCYAGAGCACCACATCCCCATCTTGGAACAGGGGCACAGTGCACAGGGCCAAGCTTGTTCCTCACCCCCTTTTAATGCCTGCTGGCCCTCAGCTGTGTTCTGCTGCTTCGTGTGGCTGGGCAGATGTTTACAGTAGCAGCTTTCTTTAATTGCTCTGCACATTTAAGAAAATCGCAGCAAGTTAAGCCTGCCGTGTTACACTGTGCACTATTTCTTTCAGATTCTGGGTGCTTGGGGATTTTTCAATAGTTTTTTGTCTTGTTTTTTTTTTTTTTAAAAAAAACACTTTAGCTCCTCTGTGCCTTTTGGAGCGGTTGCTACAGGGTGTTACAGGGAGGAAAATATGCAGTAACACCCCAGCTGAGGTCTGGCTTACTACTTCAATGCATGTTTATACTTTTCCTGATCTGGTATTGATGGCACTGATTTTAAACGGTAGATAAAGAGATATTTGGAGTTACTTTGTGAGCTGTTACAACCTGTTCTCATTAAAGCCATGTGTATTTTCACTCTAGAACTGTGTTTTTTGTGATGGATGGAACAGAGGAACTGAAACACTTTAACTGCTTCATGCTGTCCTCTCTTTTTGTCAGAGATCTTTAAGCACTGTACAGGGCCTTGCTCTGAGACAGAGACCTCAGCTCACACTGGCCCTTACAGTTCAGAGAACCAGAAATCCTAGAGCTCCAGGGACCTGGGGCTGGGAAAGGCATGCCAAGGAGTGCCCAGCACTGTGTCAGGGTTTCCAGCCATTGCTCAGCCTTGCACACAGCTTCAACTAGTGAGTCAAGATACTGGGCAAAGCYAGACCTGATCCAGCTCATAATACAGGCCAGGAGACAAGCTAGCCCTTGGTCAGCGTTCAAAAGTCTTTTGTTTCCCACCTCACCTTTCCCAGCAGTGCTTCAGACAGGTACCCCCTGAATTGAATTTAGAGAGCAGTCCCTCTAAYGCCATTGAAAACAAAGACTTCTTACCTTAGCCTGACATTAAACAGCTTTGTGTAAGGCCCTGGACTGTTCTCCATCAGCTGTAATGGGCCAGGRCTTGAAACAACTCTCCCTCAGGGGCACAAATTGCTCCATTCACTCCACTCCCCTGGCAGCTCCATTGATCCCACAGCCAGCACTTGYCCAAGCTCTTAGCAGGTGTCACAGATTGCAGAGTGGGGAAGCACACAGCACTGCACTGAGAAGCAGAGAATCCTCACAGAATCCAGGTGTGGGACTGGCTTCACTTGGTTAAGGGCTATCCTGGCAGCCCTGCTCTTACCTGAGCAGCAGATACCTGCAYTGTTCAACAGCAGCTCATTACAGCACCCCTAAGCAGCAGCATCACCATCTCCTTCCTCTCAAAACAGCAGTTTTATCTGATATCAGTGATTCTCCCTAGCAATAGCCCCAGTAGACAAAGATCATGCACAGCAGCAAGCTCAGAGTCTCTGCTTCTGTCTCCCCTTCTGCTCCAGCTGAGGTGCTGCTGTCTGTGCAGGACACTTCCTAGGTGGGCAAAGGTAGTGCTGGCCACAGGACAACAGAGTTTGTCACAGGAACACACCTTCATCTGCCCCTTTCAAAAACAGCAGTTATTCCAAACTGGAGACTCCAGACTCATTTGCATTGCTGTCTCAGCTCCCTAAATCCTCAGACTTCCCCAAGGGCTTCAGCCAGGGAGCAGCCCTGAATAATTTCCTGTATCATCAGGGATCCAAGTGCCAGCTTCACCCTTTCTGTTAACATTTAGAAACCCTTGTCCTTGTTCACATCCTTTCYTAGGCTATTCTGCTATCCCCATGCTCCTGGCCTGCATTCCCTTTGGCATCACAGAGGACTGACCCAGTCCAGCCATCTGGCACTGAAGGTGGTGACACAGGAACACCTGAACTGCCCTGTTACACCTGAAAAAAGGCTGCAGTCAGGCTAACCAACAGCAGAATGAAGTTTACCTGTACAAATCCATTCCAGCTCCTTATGTGCATTACAGTCATGCAAGTACGTGTTGTTTTTCCTCTAGGAACTAAGCAGAAAAGCTTCCAGCCAGTGCCACTTCGAGAGAAATAACAAATGAAGGTCCTGTATATTAAGTGAATCAAAGTCCTTTATAAGCATCTCACTGAGGAGCCGATACTGAAACAACAAACATTTCAGGCTGAGGCAGCCACTAAGAGGAAAATAAATATTTAAGGAGGTCAGAGGAAGAACTGGCAAAATGAAGGTGAGAAAAAGGAATGATGAAAAGCYCCAGCCAAGAGTCCCAGCAGAGCAGAGCAGACAGGTGCAGGAGCAAATGTGTAAGTGGTTCTATTAAAATGCTGGAAGGAAAACAAGAGGTAGGAGGGGTGACTCAGCAGGGAGCTGAAGTGAGAGTAGGATCCAGCAGCGAGGGAAGATTGAGACAGCAACAGCAGCACAAGCTGCACAGAAAGAGGGTGGGTGGTGCTGGTGGAGGTGCACTCCTGCCAGCTCGAGGAAACAGTCAAATGAGGTCAGTGCATCACCAAMTCTCAAGTACCAAGGAGTCTCTGGGGACTGACATTCCTTTCCTAACTGGGAAGAGCAGAGGATTAAGGCCAAGGTGATGACAGCACCCCAGAGAGAACACAGCAATAACAGGTCCCAGCTCCTCCTGCAASCTGGGAGTGTCCCTGTGGGACGTGATGCCATCAGGAATGGTTGCTGGCTCTTTAGTGACTCCTCAAAACCTCTGGGTGGGGACACACATGGGAAATGCAGCTTTTCATYTACAGCTACTCCACAATACCTCAAAAACTTGCTCTTGTGCACCACAGACACACCTTGTGGTGACCAGCAGGAGACACTCGAGGCCACTACTGCAGGTGTACGAGRTTCATTACAAAAGGAGAACAACAGGATTCCATCCTGTTTTGCCTAAATCCACCCTCCTAGAGAATTAGAAAGGATCAGAGGAGTCTGTTGGTTGGCAATTTGTTAATGTAATCCTGTGTGTCCCTTCTGTCAGCTCWCCAGTCTGCCACCCCACCAGCACCACAAATTTCAAAACACTAATTACTGCAGCCTGAATCCATCCTTCCACCTGCAGGAAACAAAGTACTGGCTGTCTTTCTGCCAAGAGAACTAACCCGTTTTTGGGGGGGTGGAAGTATCAGTTCTTTATTAGTGTCAGCTACATGAACAAAAACATGAATTTACTGAAGTGATGATTCATCAGCACTCGTCATTCCCTGAGCAACTGACCCAGGCTGGGTTCCACACTACATTTCACAAGGTGCTTTCAGTGGTGAGAAGAGATTTTAATGTGGGGATTTTTACAGGTGCAGAAGGAAGCAATTCTACAAGGGCTACAATACACACAAACAATAGGATGGGGCAATTGAAGACAAGGCAGGGTCAGTGCACGGGTATGATTCCTACAGTGTGGTGGGGTTCCTGCTCCTGTTCTTCAACAGYAGCATTGTCAGGGCTTGCTCCCAGTCCCAGAGTCTGCAAGAAACAGAGAACCCACATATACAATTTACAACTTAATTATAGAGACAGATGAAATTCACCTGAACTTGGATTAACCTAGTTATTTTCTTCACTTATGAAATCAAAGTAAATGAAATATTTCAAGGTGGTGCCTACAGTCTGAATTGCTACTGTGTCTATCCCAGCCTCAGCAGCAGGGCCAGGCTCTCCTGATCAAGCACACAAAGGGTATTTTATTGGGTTCTGAAAAAAAAAAATACTGGGGAGTCCCAGGAAAAATTGTGCTAGTTCCCACTAGACCTACACAAAAGCAAAGACTTTTCTTATCCTCCTTCCTTTCTGGTAGTGCAGTCCTTGCTCTCATCAACACAGAACGAACTAGGTCTGTGCAGTGTGACTGAGTCCGGAAAACGGAGGATGCAATTTAAGAGATGGAGCGTTACACTCCAAGATACTGATATTGCTCATTAAACCTTGCTTGGCCTGGATGAGAAACCCAATCCCCAGGTTCAGAGTCAGAAACCAGAGACTGTGAGCAGAGCACAGCTCCCAGCACCCACCTGGAGTCACTGCAGGAAGGGCCCAGCATTGCCCTTGTGGGGCATCTCGGTGCTCTGGTGTGCCTGGAGAACAGTGACCGCCTCCTCGATCTTACAACAGAGAGCACAGGGGGACCAGGTGAGTGCCCACAGTGCACAACTGCACTGTATCAGGAATTCAGTATTTCAGGTCCCAACCCGGCCCCCACACAGATCCATTTCCGAAAGGTAAAGGACTTGAATAATTACAAAATACTAGAAAATAATTACAAAATCCAAGCCTGCTGCTTCTGCAGGAGATTGATCAGCCTAAAGACCTTCTCCTTCTCCTCCCAAGGGAAATTCTGGGGCATSTCTCCTTCTCTATCAAGACAACTTGCTAGAGAGAAGTCAGATTTCACACATGAAACTGCCTGACACCACCCAGCAGAGCCCAGGCTCCTCAAAAAACAAAAAATTCAGTAAAAGGGTGAAAGCTGCTCCCGTCTCCAAGGAGCAACAAAAAGATGCAGTCAATTTTGATGGGAACCAAAGCCAAATATTCACCAGATTAAGAAGGAAACAGAAGACATGCTGCAGAGGAGCAGCAGTTTATTCCATTTCTATTCTTAGGAAAAAGCATCTCCCKGGCTGCTTCCAGGCAGAGACACCACCCTGCTTTTCCCCTCTCACTTCCCAGCCACCTCCAAACCACCCTCAGAGCTTGGCCTGTGTTTTCAGGGAGCTGCTTCCAGCTT